CATGAATTTAATATGGTATCCGAGCCAAGAGGTCTTGAGTTCAAGACCTTGCTAATGCAGTATTAAAATGGCAGATTCTGCGGCCTACATCAATCCCATGTCTACGGACTAAATAAGGCTAGACGTGAGGGGGGTGTTGAAATATATTGCCCGCTTCTCTCCATCAGTTCGGACTTTTGGTTGCGTTGGCTAGTGCATGAAGCTTAACATTATCTATATAACTTTCATTCAACAGCTCTGTATGCCTTACATATTCTTTTTTAATGTTTTATCCAAAGTTTACATGAAATTTCTTTTCCTGTTTGGCAGGTATGATGTTCTTGGTACAGCGTGAAACTCAAACTACATTGCTTGCAGCAGTGTTCAGAGTTCTCATCCTTCTGATATCTGCTACACCGTATGATCTAAATCCCAACCATGTATCTTGTTTCTCTAACTTGATATGCCATATAATTGATAATATTTTTGATGACCAGGTACCCTCGAATGCCGAAGGAGCTGTTGCCAACTGTCATTACAGCCATGTGCGGTAGATTATTAGACAGGAACTCAAATAAAAATGAACATTATGCTTTGCTGGTTAGTTTTTCAATATTATTTCTTTATTTAGGAACAATAGTTGTAGTTCTTACACCTTGCATGGGAATAACAACAGGTTAATGTTCTAAGTTGCTTGGAGGCAGCATTTGCAAAGGGGCCACCTTCTTCAGATGTCTTTGGAGTTCTCATTGATCACTGTGCAGGTTAGACCCTCTTAATTTCAAATTTCGTTGATATGGTCGCTTTATTCTCAGTCTTAATTTATATTAAAAAAAACTGCCGCACATTGCTGAACTTATTGTGTTGGAAGACTCCAGAGTTTATCATATTGAGAAACTGGTTTGGGTGGATACTGAGCTGTGACATTTGTGTACCAATGTGAGCTTTTCAGGGCCATCACTTGCTCAGCAGAAGTCAAGTGTCGTAGTTATTCTTCTTCATTGTATAGAAGAGGAAATGCATTTCAGTGTTAGGTGTGGAGCTCTCCAGGCAAGTAATTATCCATTTATGCTTAAAGGTTGCTTTTGTATTTTCTTTTATCTTCAGCATGTGTTTGGATATCGGACTTGTAATACATGAGAAACTCAGTTGCTAAGCTGACCATACAGTTTTAGCAGCAGTCAGTGCGTGCAAACATCAAATTGACTACTTGCTGACAGCCTGTATAGTCTATCTCACTGACTAAGTAAGGTCAGCATGCACTGACCTCTAGTAATACTTAGCTAATAAGCAAAGGGCACATGGATTATAACTAATAAGGATCCCTCCAGCATAAACACTAGGGAACAACTATGGTTATTCTCTAAAGGGGAACTCTTATGGTCTGAAATCTATTTGTCGGGATACCTAACATATTTGTAATTAGCTAGGAGGAAGACTGAGCTTCCTGTTCTACCTTGTAATGCAGTTCTCCTTGATATTCCATGTATAGATTTATACTGCATAAATGATGTTGTTTCACCATTTGCATTAACAAGAGGCAAGCCTAGATAACCTATTAGAATGATATGCGCTTAACTAATATGATTATCACATAGATATACTTATTCATATATACTTTTGACATGTACATTCAGTCATGGAATTGATCTTCTTGGCACGTTTTGTAGGGCATTTATATTCATTTTTTCAGTGTACATGCAAATGCTTCACAGGTTGACACATGTGGTAATATCCATTCCTTTTTATGTGTGCACAGGTGTTGAGATCAGTGGTTCATAATTACCCAAGCTGTGCAAACATCATTTGGGAAAAAGTTCGAGATATCGTTCTTGATTTATTGCAAACGGAGAGCTTTGAAGACCAAAAATGTGATGCTAACTTTGGCCCCCCTAAAGAAGAATTATCTACTAAAGGAAGATGTCTTGTAGCTGGTATTAAGGTAGAGTTTTCTGTAAATGCTTTAAAATATTGTGGACGAAACTATTTTATACTTCGGAACTTTACTTTTTCCCCATAAAGCTAAATAGATTTAATTTTTTACTTTTGCCATGAACTGGATAAAATTCTTGATATTGGGTAAATTTCCATCCAACCTTGCATTCAACTTGGTTTTCCCTGTTTATGAGTTTGCTACAAATCACTTTACCTATCGATGTTTAGGTTTTATTTTTGTTAATAATATCTACAGCCTATAGGGTATAGTCTAGCTTAAGTTTCTGTAGTAAGCTCTGCTGGAGAAACTGTTTTAGCTATTCTTTTCAGCTTAAGCTTATTATCTATGTTGAGATGTACAAAGTCTATAATGCCTCTGGACTCCAGTCTAATGCTTTACACATTAATGATAGATTGGCCACAAATCATGCATAATTCTGTAAAACTGGAGATTCACAGCTCGTTCACAGAATGGATCCTGACATTATAAATCATTCATTACAAAATGAAATGTCCACAGAACAAGCTACAAAGTGCAATATAATATAAACATGAACTACCAATATACAATTACCACAAGCACACATTAGGCATTGCATGAGATAACAATTCTTCACTCTGAACAAACATCAATCAACAACACTTGTAAGTATAATTTTTGGAATAGGCATGAATTGACGAAAATTGCTATTGTAGTTCTCTGGAACAAACATCAATTAGCGAACAAACACTGATCCAATTTCGTATGTGCTTGTGCTGGATCTGGAGATGCTCGTGGGTGAAGGGCATTGCTTGTGGTGGACAGCGCTGGAGGTTGAAAGTCAGCAGGGGAGCAGGGGAGGAGGTGAGCTGGCCGTTGAGGACCAGAGAACATTAGGAGGTGGGAATTGTCGGCAGCGGTGTCGAGGAGGCGGCGGCGGCGAGTCAAAACCTAGGTGTTGTCGCACATTAGAGAGAGATGCTTCGATCGACAGGAGGGGAGAGCTACTAGAGGAATCTCCACATGTGCTCTGGTCTGGGGGCGGGGGGTACGCAGTGGCAAGCCCCGGTAATTTCTGTATCATGTTGGATGGCAGTTCTGAGATGGAAGAGGTGGGAAGCTGGGTCTGAGGCTCTGAGCAGCTTCCTAGTATCAGCAGAGATTTGGGTGGGCTATGGGAAAAACTAATTAGTCGTTCTTTTTGTCTTAAGCTTCTGGGGGCTCTAAGCTGCTAAGCTGAGAAGAAGTGGCCCAGTACCTGAAGTTGGATGTATCATCATCAATAACAACATAGCCTTTTGTCCCAAGTAAGTTGGGGTAGGCTAGAGATGAAACCCACCAGAAACCTGTGATTGTGAGAACCCCAAAAGAAGAGAGAGTACGTAAACAAAGTGAAGGAAAGTAAATTAAGGTTCTGGTACATGGATTGCTGGTAAATTAAGAACTTGGATGTATGCTTAACCTTTTTCTCCCAAGTCCCAACATAAGATGACTACTGGTTGAATGCTCTTGTTCATAGATGATTTTGTTGATTATCTGCTACATGACACCTAAATATTCTAGGCTCAGGTTCTTACAAACTTGGTTCTTTGGTTATGACATGTATGTAGCACCTGATCTTTTTTTTGATTTTTCATCAGCTACTATGTTATTATTCAATCTGGAACTTAGAACCTAAAAGGCACAGACA